GATATCAGGTTTGTTTTATCCCCTCCCCTCCCCACCCAATCCCTGTACCCCAGCAGGAACCCTTATTTATTTATTTTGCCCTATTTACATAATCCAATATATACATTTATATACAATTCTGTTGTTTGCTCCCCTTGAGTGGGATTGTACAGTTATCAATGCTATCAGCTCCCCACCCCTCCTCTTCCCGTACCTTCAGGGAACCATTACTCCGGTTACTGTTTCTAAAGGGTGTGTTAGTCTGGGTAGACTAGAGAAACAAATTCATGGGCACTCCTATGTGTATAGGAAAGAGCTTTCTATACATGAACATTGAGACAACATCCCAGCTCAGTCCAGATCAAGTCCATAAGTCCGATATTGGCCCATATGTCTGGTATTAATCTATAAAGTTTTCTTCAGACTCACGAAACACATGAAATCATGCTGAATGCAGGAAGATCACAAACCAGTGGGCGGGAATTCTTGTGGATCCAGTGGCAGTGTAAGCATCTCAGCACTGGCAGGGGTCTCCACATGGCTTCTCCAGCTCCGAGGCTCTGGCTGCATCAGAATAGCTTCATGTGGCTTCTCAACAGAAATATCTCACAGGGAGTGAGCCTAGAGAAAGAGTGTCTCCTGCCCCCACGGCAGAAATACAAGCGTTCCCAGAATCCTCAGGAGAAGGCCATGCCCACACAGAGATCTCATTGGCTATGACCTGATTGACAGGCTAAACTCCGCCCCTTCACTCTTAAGCCTCTCAAATTGACAAATGATTATAGAACGACCACAAAGGCTTATTGATCTTGGCTTTCATATATCAAGTTATTTTAATTATACAAATGAACATACACAAGTTTAATATGATTAATGAGGCAAGACCAATAAGAACCATAATACTAAGGGGAGGAAATATTAAAGAATTAGAAAATAGCTATGTGTTTCATCAATTTGGCCTATTAACCAAAAAATCAGAAATTCCACATAGATAGGGTTTTTAAAATCTAATAAAAAGATTTCTCTTATTGTAAGTCTCCAGGCCTCCTTGGTCTGGAATTGATCACTATTATCATCATTATACTTATATACCATATATAATTTTGTGAAGTGAAACTCAGTCTGTGCAAGTAGAATTGAAATATGAACAAGTCGCAACTCAGGACCACCCCGGGATTAATGTCATACGGTATTCAACTGTAGTACTATCCTCTCTGAGCAAAACTTGATCGTCACCGTTTCCTCATGGATTTCAGGAGCTGTGTCAGCAGGTTTTCTGCTTTCCCGACTGACCTTTTGGGAAACTTTCTTCCGCTGATGGAATTGTGATTCTGTCACAGTGAAAGATGCAGTGTACTGCAAAATGGTGACTGGGAAAATCCAACACTCAAGCTGGACTCTCCTGGGCAATCCTAGTACATTCCTCCTCTTAGTTTAAAAGAAAGTGAGTACTATTTAGCACATTTAAAGTGTCTTGCTTACCTAATGAGACTAGACATTTAAAATAACAGAATATAGAAAACTTATAGATTTAAATAGTGTAGTTTATTAATTTAATAAACTAATTATTTAATAAGATTAATTTATAGTATCAATTATATAAATTATCAGTCAATTATATTATTGATTGATTATTTTAATATTATTATTTGATATCTAACATTATTGATTCTTTTAATAATATTAATACTATTAATTAATACTATTAATACTATATAATTATATTAGAAGCATCATTACCTTTCTCTTCCTTCATTCTTTTCCCCTGATGTTGAGCGGATTCTGACCCCTAGCAAGCCTCTAACTAGAACAGAACTGCTTCACAAGGTTCTTCAGGTTGTGGTCTTTATGGAAGTGCATTGTCACAACTTCCTTCCACAGACTGGCTTGTTGACTCAAACCACTAACCTTTTGACTAAGAGCCCAGCACTTACCCGCCATGCCACCAGGTATCTACCTCCTCTTGCTTTTATTATTCTTTATATCCCCTATAGCTTGGTACTCCTGGGTTATGTTTTGTTTCATGACTCCATAGGTTTCTCTCCTGGTCATATTAAATGTAATAGATGAAACCAAATGAAACCTGCTGCCCCCGAGTCTCAGAGAACAGCTGGCAGCTTTATCACTGCCCTTTCGATTAGCAACCAAGCACTCAGTCACTGTGCCAGCAGGACACCTTCATAATATAGGGACTTAAATGATTTAAAAAATATATTATTTGCTTGCTTGGGGATGTCAGGAGTTACAATGACGCAATGGCAATGGCATCATTTATTTATCTTTTGTTTTTATTATTAATTTTATAATACATTATTGAAATACCTTGCACAAGCCAATATACCCACTCACTTACAATTCTGTTGTTCAGTCTCCCACCCCCCCACCCCCCATTGAGCTGGGTTGTACAATCATCAATGCTTTTAAAGTAAGCTACACTTGAGTTAAATCCAACTTATGTAACATACTACCAGCATGAACTTGTGCAGCCAGCCCTAGTGGCATAGTGGTTGCCCTTTGAACTGCTAACCACAAGATCAGCAGTTCAAAACCACTAGGGCATGTTAGACCTTAAAAGTCCTTTTGAAACACGTGCATCTCCCCAAATGCACAGGTCCATAAGGGCACCTCATTCAAAGCTGGTTACTGGCTGCCAATGCCAAGAAAACAGAGGGCCCTCTGTGGGGAAGTGTTGGGATCTACAGGACACAGAACTAAGTTCTTGAGGATGATTTCATGCCTCCTTCAGTTTTGAACACTAATCAATGTGGAGTGAATCTGGAGTTAAAGATAAGGCTTGCGATTATGTAAACAGTTACAGCTCCGGAAAACCACAAGGGCAGTTCTACCCTGTCCTAGCGGGGCAGTATAAGTCAGCATCAACGAAATGGCAATCAGTAGCTTTTGGAAGTGGAACAGGATAAAACAAGGCCATTTAACGCCATAAGATTTTAAAAGATGGACCTATCCTTAGTACCATGCCTGCCCTATAGTAGGGTTTCAATCGGTTGTCATCAAAATGCTTCCATGAGTTTATATCCAAACAAACCTTTAATGATTCTAGTTTACAAGAAAACGGAAAACCCTTTTTCACAACTCTTTGGAAAACTTAGTTTTCTTAAAGAGTATAGACACAAACTTGTGTGAATAATGTCGTTGTTGTTAGATGCCATCGAGTCAGTTCTGACTCGTAGTGACCTACTGGTAACGGAATGAAACGCTACCAGGCCTACACTCTCTTCACAGTTAGTCTTAGCTTGAGCCCAGGGTTGCTGTCACTGGGTCAATGTATCTTTGAGGATATTCCTCTTTTGCACTGTTCCTCTAGTTTATCAACCATAATGTCCTTCCCCAAAGACTGGTCTCTCCTGATTACACGTCCAAAGTACGTGAAACAATGTCTCGCCAGTTTCTATGGAGCATTCTGGCTGTGCTTCTTCCAAAGCAAGTTGCTGACTCTTTAGGAAGTCCATGGTACCTTCAAGATTCTTCACCAGCACCATAATTCAGATACATCGACTCTTCTTTAGGTTTCCTTATTCCATGTGCAACTTTAACATGCGATTGAGGCTACTGAAAATCCCCTGACTTGAGTCAGGCTTTACCGTAGTCCTCAAAGTAACATTCTTGCTTTTCAACACTTGAAAGAGATCTTACGTAGCAGAGTTAGCCAATGCAATACATCCTTTCTTCTTGACTGCTGCGTCTCTAAGCATTGATTGTGGATTCAAGCAAGAAAAAAATATTTTACAACTTCAAACTTTCCTCCATTTATCATGATGTTAACTGTTGGTCCAGTTGTGCAGATTTTCGCTTTCTTCACATTAAATTGTAATTCATACTAAAGGTCACAATCCTTCATGTTCATCAGCAAATGCTTCAAGTCCTCCTCACCTCCAACATGCAAGGGTGTGCTATCTGCACATCACAAGTTGTTAGTAAGCCGTCCTCCCATCCTGATGCTGCATTCTCCTTTATATAATTCAGCCTCTAGTTCTTTGGTATGGTGAGAAGTATGGTGAGTCAAGTAAGTATGGTGAGAAGATACAAGCCTGAGGCACACCGTGCTTGATTTTAAACCAGGCAGTATTTCCTTGTTTTGTTGCCACAACTGCCTCACGATCCATGTGCAGGTTCAGTATAAGCACCATGAAGTGTTCTGGGATTCCTATTTTTCTCCAGATTATCTATAGCTTGCTATCAATATTATTCAAATTTATTTAAATGGGATATTTGAATGAACTCAATAGAACTATAAATCATATCGAATACTATTGAATGTAATATAAGCTTTTGTCAATTAATTCTTCGTGTGTGTGTGTGTGTGTGTGTGTGTGTGTTTGCTATTGTGTGCTGCTGTTGAGTCCACTCCAACTCACAACAATTCTATATGATCGAATGAAACTGCCTTATAGAATGTTCTAGACTATTATCTTTGCAGGAGTAAATGGCCAGGCTTTTTCTCCTGAGGAACTGCTGATGAATTTGAACTTCACATTTCTACTGCGTATGTAATCATGTTGCCACCAGGCTGTTTCCTGTGTTCACCAATTAAGACCCTCTGTAGAATTGCGTTTTTCCTTGGGAATCAGGAATATGTTCCTCTCCATTGAGTTAATATCTTTGTTAATTTTTAAAAATCAGTTTTTAAATCACGGGTGCTCGGCTGGCACACACACCCACACAAGGTGGCATGGTTGTCTTTTTAAAGTAAATGAGGCTCCTCGCCAGTACAGGGGTTTCAAGTGTGGTCATAATGCAGCATACATCAACACGTGGCCTGTCCTCCTGTGATAGCCTGTGTGTTTATCAACAATTGAAGAGAAATGGATGTGACAGAGACTAAATAGGGATGGAAGAATTGTCTACCTTCTCTACTTTTTTTCAGTAAAATCTAATGGACCACTTACATCTGATAGGCACTCATCCAGGCAAATAATCTCACCTAAACATTTGCTACAAGGGTCCTACCTAACGGTTTATAGAAACCCCTTGTCTGACACCCCTTTTCTCATTTCTTCCAGGAATTTCTATTACATCACGATGCTGCGGGATCCAGTGTCGCGTTACCTGAGCGAGTGGAAACACGTCCAGAGGGGGGCCACGTGGAAAACCTCTCTCCATATGTGTGATGGGAGAAGCCCCACCGCCGATGAGCTGCCCACCTGCTACCCAGGGGATGACTGGTCAGGCGTCAGCTTGCGGGAGTTTATGGACTGCAGCTACAACCTGGCCAACAACCGCCAGGTGCGGATGCTGGCCGACCTCAGCCTCGTGGGCTGCTACAACTTGACGTTCATGAACGAGAGCGAGAGAAACACCATCCTGCTGCAGAGCGCCAAGAGCAACCTGAAGAACATGGCCTTCTTCGGCCTCACGGAGTTCCAGAGGAAGACGCAGTTTCTGTTTGAGAGAACATTCAACCTCAAGTTCATCTCCCCGTTCACGCAGTTCAACATCACCAGGGCTTCCAACGTGGAGATCAACGAGGGCGCGCGTCGGCGCATCGAGGAGCTCAACTTCCTGGACGTGCAGCTTTATGAGTTCGCGAAAGATCTTTTCCAGCAGCGCTACCACCACACCAAGCAGCTGGAGCGCCGGAGGGACCGGCAAAAGAGGCGGGAGGAGCGGAGGAGGCTGCAGCGGGAGCACAGGGGCCACCGGGACCCCAAAGAAGACGGGGCCTCAGAGGGGGCGGTCACCGAGGACTACAACAGCCAGGTGGTGAGATGGTGACCCCAGGCCCTCTCCTCGCCCGGAGGGGGAGGCTATGCAGGCGCATTGACCTTTGCTGCATTACCTTGGAGAGGGAAGATGGCCTCGCGGCAGTAGATGGCTTCCTTTCCGCATCTGCCTCCTCGTTGTCTTCATTGTATCCGGATGGAGAGTATCAGTCTTATTTTGCTTCCTTTCCGCCTGACGGTTTTCGGTCAGTGCCGTCACGTGGGGTAGGAGCGCATGCGTCATAGACCACCTCGGGAGGCTTGTCATGGAGCAACGCACCAAAAGAGAACGAGTCCCGGCCATTACGTTAGTGGTGGCGAACTTGACCTCTGCCATCGCTGGAACCTACAGAAGCACAAGCAAAAAGCCGAATGACCGATTGGATGTTATGTTGAAACGGATTGGCCTGTCTCTGTAATGGAACGATTTGTTTAAAGAGCAGAGAGAGAGAACTTTGAGCATTTCAAGGAGTGTTATGCCAACCCTGGCAGATGGGTGCTGGTACTTGTCTTTGAACTCTATTTGAATGTGCTTTAAATCCTAAGTAGAGTGATGTGCTTGTTGCAGTTCAACAAAAATACCCTATTGTTGACCATTGCTAGAGACCCACCTCCTAAAATCTCTGCACTAAATAAGTTTCCTCTTCCGTCATTTAAGGAATGAGGAGGGGGTGCTGTACTGACCTGGCTGTGGCCCCTGAGAAATAAAGAGCATTAGTAGTAGTATTTAAGAGAAAACATGCTTACATCCCAATACGTCACAAGATTCCACGTTATCGTTTTCTTTTCAAGGTGAGGACAGATCGCTAAATTAAGCAAAATGAAGGTAGGACAGTACCCCTCTGTCACATGGTTCAAAACACTGCTAAAATATAATTTTTAAAAGGAAGGCTTCAAAGGACAGTTTCAGAGTAGTCATATTCTTTGACAGGGGAAAAAGGCTACAAGGGAATCCAGCCCGAGGAACAAGAGTTTTAGCTCCTGTGCATAAAATCCACCTGGAGGTAACTAAGTGAACAACTCTGATGTAGGTCAGCAAACATAGATTACCACTGATGGGCTGATTTTCTCAGGGGCTTAGACAGACTCTTCCTCCCGGCATCTGGTATAACCTTTGATCTCACCGTATACCTTTCCTATGCGTAGAATGAGCATCTTTATCAAATTATGCTTCTCCCTATCCTTGGCTTCCTCTGTCATGAAAGTGGGGAGATTCTTCAGGGGTTCCCTATACCAAGAATGAGGAGAGCGTCTTTCCCTTTCTTAAGTCAATCCCATACAATAAGTATGCGTTCTCAATTCATCAATAAGAAAAGTGGAGCCAGTAGACTTGAAAAATCGCTTCCTCAGAAATGATAAGCCAGGTCTAGCGGACGGCATCATGTTGTCCATATGGGATAAAGACTCATTCTGCCCAAAGCGGCCTGTCAGTCATTCAGGAAGCCAGCTGTTCTTGCCCAGAAGGGTTTGTCTAGTGTGCTTTTTTGAAACATATGCAAGAGTGAAAAGAGGCCAAGGAAATATTGTTCATCGGTTGGTAGAGATTAGGCTGACGACGAGAGTGTCTCCCCTGCAGATGACTCGTTTCTGAGGTAGGATGGGAAGGGAAATTGCAGCTGGGATTAATGAGCAGATCTCTCTATTTTCACATTTCATTGTTAGGGTGCCATGTTCTGCCTAGAATGAGAGAAATGCAAATGACCCTTCTGCCTGCCTCTGTGAAGCACACACACACACACACACACGCACACGCACACGCACATGCACACGCACACGCACATGCACACGCACACGCATGCATGCCAGTTAGCACACACGCATGCATGCGCATGCAAGGACACACTAATCACCAGTGTTTTACAATGTGGAAGATCAAAACAAGTTAGAAAGCATTCTAGGTTTTTCTTTTATACTCGCACTAAACATCTAGCAGGGAATTCAGTCATTGCAGCCTCTACTAAGTTCACACTGTTCCTTAGGCACCTTGGGATTTCGATCAAAAGGCTTTCCACTGCCTTGCTGCTGAAGACTTGATGTATGGTGCTCCACTTGAGATGAGCAATCAGGATGTTCAGAGGCGGCAACCACCTCTGGGTTGGCCTGAGGCCAAAGCTGAGCAAATTAGAAAGACTGACATGGGCTTCTTCCTCGTATCATTTCACTCTAAAGTGACATGTGTGTCACATCCCCGGGGTCTTATGTTGATAGAAAATGGAAGGTAGAGAGAGAGCTTGAAAATTGATTGCACACCTGCATGCCGAGTGAAGCTGAGGGTGGGATGACAACGGGAAGGTAATCTGGGTCTCAGAATCTATGGGGATTCAGCAGCTTTCAGGTTCCCATCTAAATTAACTCCAGATCTATTCGCGTTAAAAACTCAAGGAGGTGTGAAAACATCCTCAGGGAGTTTGTACCGTGTCCTGTAGATGCCAACACTTCCCCCCAGATGAGGCCTCTGTTTTCTTGGCATTGGCAGCCAGTAACCAGCTTGGCATGAGGGGTCTTCTTTTATCCACGCATGTGGGTAGATTCACATATTTTAAAATTACTTTTAAGGTCTAAGGTGCAGAATATTAATTATCCTAGCCTTTTGACAACCTAATCTTATTTTCAGTTACTAGAAGAAAACTTCCCCGAAAATGATTTGGATATTCTTTCTAATAATTGATGACATTAGCAATGACTATTCAAAAATGGTTAAGTATATTGCTAGGATTACGGTTAAACAATTTAGAAAGAGTGGTTTTTAACATCTAAATGTGTTTTCCATTTGTCCTAAATGGCTTGAAATATAAGGATTTTCTTGGTTTAAATGAGCCTTTATAGACCGTTAAAGGAGGTTAAGGTCGGAGTAGAACTAACAGTCATAAAGAATAATAATTTACTCATAGGTTCCCAAACTTATGTGGCCTTTACAGAAAAAAAATTACTTAGCACCCCCTTTGACAATGAAAAACCTTTGTACCAAGGCCCATAATCCAGGATAAAGTGTAGGAATCTGCTTACGTAGCCCTCCCCTCACCCCCACCACTGTTCCCGTGCTGCCCAAGAGATAGTAGCTCTCACTTTGGGAAATGGTGTCCTGCATTGACATAGCCAGGAGGTGAGCACCGATCCTTAAAAAATAAGTGTTGAGAATATTGGATGGTGTTGATATGTGACTGCTTTTCCTAGAGAATTAAGCTCACAGTGACTCGAATGTAAAGAAGAGCTGTCTTCGTGATTGATTGCTTGAGTCCTTCAAGTGTTTGGGGGTTCTTTTACTAAAGCAAATGATCTCTGATGACACCACGGGTTAAGCATTGGACTGCTAACAGCAAGGCTGATGATGCAAACCCCCCAGCTGCTCTGAAGGAAAAGAGGTGAGTCTGGATGCTCCAGTGAGGTCCCAGACACCCATGCAAATTGACCCAATGGCAGTGGGTATTATGAAAGCAATGACGCGAAACTTAATATTGATTAAAAAACAACCAGATAGAAACTAAATGGGAAATATTTCAAGTATTTTTCAATGTCATTCATTTCATAATGTATAGATCTGAATTTTTGCATTTACTATCTTATGTGATCATCACTACCATCACTACCCTATTAAATATGACGTCTCTTCATCATCCAATTTGACCGTTTTCAATAGACATACAAAGATGTTCATTCTTTCCCCCAAATTATATTTTATGAGCAAGAAGGCTGCTCACAGCCTGTCTTTTCCTCCGACTTCACTGCTATTCTGACTACGTCATGTTGCTCAGTATCACTATTGGAATTGGAGGTTGCAAGAATTTTTTAAAAATCCAAATAGTTGTTGATCTATACCTTCACTGACTTTTTAATGAAACTAAAGGGACTTACACCATGCCAGGAAGGCTGGTGGCATTGACTGTCCATTCTCTTCCTCTATGGAGGGCACCTCTTATTAGGAGCGACATGTCCAGGACTACAGCAGTTTCATAGATACGTCAATACCTCAAGCTGGATGTCTATCCCTTACAACCCCCAAATTACTTAAGATGAAGGCTGATGGGATGTTACAATGACTCAGGAGAGTTCAGTGGTAGACATATGCAGATTCAATAGCTACGTGAACAGAGGAGCTGGATGGTCAATAGAATCACTGCTAAAAATAGACAAACAAAACCCTTCTTTTTCTCTCTACTAGGTTTTCTCCATGTCCTTCGAATTCTATTAGCAACGTATTGCTTTAGTTCCTAAAAATGTTTCATTTACTGTTAAACGAGTCCCTTTGGCTGTATGGCCAGAGAGAAGAAATGTGTTAAGCAGTCACATACTAACAGCTTCACCCAAAGTGTTTATCGAATTCCATTTCTAACCATGACCTGCAGCTCAGATGAAAGCCCTGGATAAGCAAAGGGAGTGGAGATGGGTAGGGGGTTGTTGAGGAGAGTGAGGGTATCAATAGAGGCAAGTAGGGCTTCTAAAACAAGGAAGCATCTTCCATTAGTGGAAAGACGAGGGGGTAAGCCTGGGTCAGGCACTGTTGAAAAGGTGGTTTCTGGAGACATCATTCCTTTGACCATTTCAAAGCCCTGGAAAGGAGATAAGACCCATGAAACAGGACCAGAGCAGTAGGATGGTTTTAGTATCTAGAGTCAGGTTGACTGAGCTGGAGGAACTGAATCAAAGAGAAGAGAGGCAAAGCATACCCTAATCTGATCATAGCTGTGTCTCCCGGCTTTTCCTCTCCCTAGCTCTTGGGCCTCTACTGGTCACCAGAACCACAGGTAGGGCTCTCGGCTGGGCCTGAGGGCTGATGAGGCCTAAGCATTCTATACATTCTTGGTCAACACTTGGTCAGGAGCATGACTGGCTCTTTGGCTGCCCTTGTTAGGAACTTCCCCTCTCTCTAATATTCTAGCTCAGCCCCTGGACAGAAGCCAATGCCTGCTCTTCTCGAGTGACATCACTTGGACACACACTGGGTCTAATTTTCTGACACTGTGGCTTAGGCCCTTCAGGGCAAGTGGACGGGGTGCTTAAGCCCGTGTCTTTTGTTACCTACTAGATGGAATGTCCTTGGCATGTGCAGAGCAGACGTGTCTTACACAGGCACTGAGATTTCTAGAGGACTAACGTTGAGGCTCATCTGCAAAGACAAAGCACCTGAATTTCCGGCAAGGCCTGGAGCTAACCCAGCAGACACAGGATCCGAGAACAGAGAAACAGGTGTTTGTTGTGCCTGTGTGCTCAGCTGCCTCCAGAAAAGACTGCAGCTGTCATGCTTTGTCACAGTAAGCAGCACCTATGTGATTCACAGGTTCTGCTGCGCAGCACTGTGGGAACTCATCAATGGGCCAATGTCAGCGCTGAAAAGCCTCGGTTCTGGCTGGGGAAAACGTGTTCTGAGCAAGCAAAGTGGTGTGTGGTTCAGCTATTGTCAGCTGCGTCTTCCATGTCGTTGCCATTCATGTTTTAAATCTTGGGGTCATCTTTTATTCCCTCCCCACACCCATCCTCAACTTTTTCTGAAGCACTTCTTGGATTTTGCCTGCATTGTTTTTCATTTAAAATATCCATTTGATGTTAGAAAGAAATATCTGGTGCCCCTCATGTAGGTGTCAAGGTAGTTATTCTGTAGATAGTCCTTCTTTCTCCTGGGAGATATTTTCTTTCGTTTCTGTGCAATAAGATGTATGAACCTGGGTACTAGGAGATTGTATTGTGATATTATCAACCTTTATTGCTATTTAAAATGATCGTTTAGTTTGTAGAACTGAGGATTTTCATTGATGTGAAGCACAATTTAATGAATAAGTTAACATATTAAACTGTTGTGATGTCAAGAACAATTGTTTTCCCTTGTGTTTTTTTGTAGAATGAGAAAAGTTGGTTAAACACTTTAAGGGATTTATGGATAGTGTATCTATCAGATCAGCTTTGTCAAACTTGAAAAATCCATGCTTTGGATACAAATGTGGTTCCTGGATGTGAAACTTTAACAGCCCGAAAAGACAAAGAAAATGTGGATTGAAACAATGTAAAGACTCTGAGACCAGAGAGATTTCACAGTCTCTCAACCACATAAGCTTCTCAAACCATGGTTCTCAGTGGCTCACTACACGGCCCCCCTGTCCCCCACCTCTCCTTCCCTTCCCGAGAGAGCGCGTGCGCGCGCACACACACTAACATTCAATGTGAAATGTGTAAAAGCAGCTAGGAGATGTAGAGATGAAGGAAGACCTTGGGAAAGAGTGACGGGAGAAAATAACAGTGAATGGAGCAAAAGGGAGAAATTGTAGTCTAAAGATATGGAGGGGTGGGGTAGGGGTGGAGGGGTGGAAAGTAGGGAGAGGAGGAGAAAGAAAGAAAGAAAGAAAGAAAGAAAGAAAGAAAGAAAGAAAGAAAGAAAGAAAGAAAGAAAGAAAGAATGAAGACGAAAAACACAACGAAAACGAATTGGCCTTCTTAAAGTTTGCTATGTGTCAGATATACAGTGAACCCTCGTTTATCGCGGTTAATCGGTTCTAGACCCTACCGTGATAAATGAAATTCCGCGAATAGGATTCCTTATTTGTAAATCAAATATTTTCGTAGTTAGAGCATAGAGGACATGAAAAAA